CAGAGCAGGGTCACTTTCAACCATTCCCTCTAGCAAAATGCCAGGCGTCATTCCGACTAAATTGTGGCTCTCAACAAAGAGCAGCAGGAAGTAGATCATGCTACAAAAGGATCAGACCTCAGTCAGCTCCCTCAGCCAGTCACCCCCACCTCACTTCTTCCCTCCAAATGCTTTTGAACTTTGGAGGCTTCTTTTTCCAGCATCTTCCTACCCATGTCATGGCAGTCCCAGAATCTCAGCAGTATCTATCTATTCCTACCCTTACCCTGCCTATAATTTTCTTTGGTGCTGTTGTAAGAAAAGAGATTTAGAGTTTGACTTCTAATCAAAACTCATTTCTACCACTCATTCTGATTTTGTATAAGGTGATTTAATTTTCTGGGCCTCTGTTTTCCCACCTATAAAGTGGCAATGGTGATATCTACCTTCCAGACCTTCCAGGACTATTGGAGTTATATGGCATAATTAATGTAAAATACATAGTGCCTTGCTATGACCACTGCAGACAATCTATGTGTTAATCTTTCTTTTCCTCCCTTCCTTCTCCATCTGCTTTTGCACAGAACTAAACCAATAAAATAAATATTATATAACATATATATAATATTATATAACATATATGATAAAACAAAAAACTCATCTAAATATTTATAGTATTTGTTTATCTAAGTATATGCATTTCTGCATGTGGAGAAGGAGGTAAAGTAATAATACAATTAACAAGGGTTTTAAAACCTCTCATACTTCAGCTTTTTGTCACTTGACAACTTAAGTTTTATAGTTGCTAATCTCTGATCTGAACAATCATGTTGAGTAAGAGATTTACACAAGATGTAAATGGTTAAAATAGCATAATGCTGTGAAGAAAAGTATAGTAATGGAAAGAATGCTTTATAGTGCCATATTAACCAGGGAATAACTAACAACACCTGCCCCATTTCTTTTCTGTTTAAATCTCTCAGCTCCTTGTAGCTAGGTCCGCTGATACCATATATATGCTGGATAATTTCCACATATTTTCTAATCCAATCCTGAGGGTGAAAAAATGAACCAAGAATTTCATTCCCTTTCTTCCCATTCTTCTTACTATATTCCCCAATTTGGAAAGATATAGCATGGACCCACTTTCATAAGATCTGCCAGTTATTCTTGCTTCCCCCTCAAATTTGGAGTTCTGTCCTGAATGCCACACAGGTAGGCCTTGTCTTCTCTTTGCCTAAATTAATC